GAAAACCTCTCAAAAAAAAAAAAAAAAAAAAGCATAATTGAACCATCCCTAGATCCAACCATGCCTGAAGTTCCTGGATGTTTTAGTTACATAAGACAATACAATTCCTTTTTTCTGTTAAACAAATTGCATTGTGTTCCTATCACTTGCTGGCAATCAGATCCTGACTTAAACTGTCCTTTATATAGTCCTTTATGCAGTTTTTTTTTTAAAGAATTATTTTATTATTGGGAACCAGCAGTTAGAGTAATGGCTATGTCACTGGACTCCCATGTAGTCGACCGTGGTTCGCGTCCCGGACCCGGTGGCTTAAAACTCATGCTGGGCGTGTGTGTGTACGTGCCCAAGATCCTGAGAGGAGAATGGAGGAGAAGGGATTGCAGCATGGCCATCCCCCCGGGGGTGATTTCTCGCTTTCTGTCTCTGTCTCTCTCTGTCTGTCTGGTGAGCGCACGCACCCTATAGCAAAAACCTCTCCAAAAAAAAAAAAAGAATTATTTTCTTATTTAATTCTATTCATCATTACTATTCTCTTTTTAACTTACAGAGAGAGAAATGAAAAGTGGGAAAGCAAGCTACCAGGTCTGGGACTCGAACTGTGGTCGACCATGTAAGAGTCCAGCGCCTCAACCACCACACCACCTGCCAACCCCCAGTTCTTTTTCTTTTTAACTTTTTTATAGTATTCACTAAGATTGGGCTATGAAGGGCTTCACACACAACAAGTGCTAGTAAACCTGAGCTATCACTACAGAATCTCAAAGCACAAAGTAGAGCGGCTCCACCTGTCACTTAGGGCACTAATTCCCCCATGATTTCCCTGGTGGAGTGTGATCCTAGGGTCTGTTTAGATGCCTTCAAGAACAGGAAGCTCACTCCTTCCTCCGTCTCTCAGGAGACCTGTGTCTGTTATTACTGGAAGTCTCCAGCCCGTTCCCATGCCTGAGACTCACCCTGCAGCTGGGAGAAACGCAGGGCAGCAGCATTGAGTGCTCCCACCCGCTCGCTCTGGGCTGCAATGTCTCCTTCCAGCAGCCCATGCTTCTGCAACAGGTCGTCCGCCTCCACCAGGTGCTGCCCGCACTCCCGGGACAGCAGCTGAGCCTGCAATGGGGGCAGCACTAAGCACAGCTTGGCATTGTTCTCAGCCACTCCCCTGTCCCTTGGCTGCCTGTGCCAACCTTCTACCACTTTGAACTCTGATCTGTCTTTCTCTGTCTCTGCCAATTCTCGCACTTCTGAATGTCTCCATCTTTCACTGTCTCCGTGTTTCTGGGCTCAGTCTCAATCAAGGAATCTCCCTCTTTGCCTCCGTCTTTCTCTTGTCTACACCTCTGTCTCATGTCTCTCTGCCTCTCTGAGTTTACTTTTTTTTTTTTCTTTTTGCTTTAATGTGTGTACACTCACGACAGAGAAAAAGAGAGAGAGAGAGAAAACTCATCCTCCAGAGGGGAAAGTCATGCCGCAGTCTCTTCTCTTCCATTCTCTCAGGATTTTGGGCATACAACCACATGCGAGCGGTGTGTTTTACAAGTTGCCAGGTTCAGGACTCGAACAGCATAGTTAGCTATGTGGGATCCATCTGCCCTAACCACCACATCTCCTAGCTGGCTCCCTTGTCTTTCTTTTTCTGTCCCTCTTGTCTACATAGCTTTCTCTTAATCTCTTGCTCTCTCTCTCTCTTGGTCTCCTGGATTTCTCTCTCTTCATTTCTTTTATATGTGAGAGAGACAGAGACAGACAGCACCCCCAACAGGGCCTCAACTCTAAGATCCACTCCCAGCCTCAGTCAGCCCAGGATCATGAGCACACCCGTACCTCACGTACTCAGGGAGGTCTCTGATACTTGTTTAGTTCCAGAGAATGTATACACTCGCCAGAGAGAGACAGAGAGATAGAGAGGAAGAAAGCACCACCAATGGGGAATGGTTATGCTGCAGTCCCTTCCCCTCCATTTCTCCATCCTGGTGGGATTTTGGCATGCATGTACGCATGCCTGGGTGTGCTCAGGGAGGTCGCTGAACATGAACCTGGAACCTTTTTATGTGGGTGAGCTTTGCAGAGTGTCACATTTTACTGCTGCACCACTGGCTGACCCTCCCCTGCCTCCAGCTTTCTCTACTTCCTTCTTCTGTCCTCCCCTTTCCTCGCCACCTCCACCACTGTCCACTTTCTCAGTGTCTGCACCCCTCCTTCCCCTCCCAGCACCCCATCCTTGGTCCCTACCTGCATCTCCTCCATCCAGTCCACCATGTACACCATCTCTTGGAAGACCTTCTGCAGGGCCAGGTTCTGCTCAAGCCGAGTCCGACGGGCACCTACCAGCCCTGTCAGCAGGGCCCACTGGCGCAGGACGCTGTCACGCTGTGCTGCCACCCGTCGGGCATCATAGTAGCCTTCGGCTGCCAAGGCCTGGGCCAGCTCCGCCACACCCTGCACCCGCTCTTCGTAGGCTGCGATGTCTGCTTCAATAGCTTCGTGCTTCTTCATAGCTGCCTCTACTGCCGGCAGCTCATACCCAAAGTTGTCCTGGGGCATGCAGGCCACAGACATTCACCCATAATGCCTCAGCAGTCCACATATTACTTTGACCTTGTGTGACCCTGGACCTCCCTCCCCATTACCTTGGAGACCAACTCCACTTTTACAGTTACCCTAGAGACCAGCCCCACCCTCTTGTCACTCTAGAGACCAACCCTGCTCTCCCCTGTTATCGTGGAGAATAGACCCACCTTCCTGTTTCCATGGAGACCAGCCTCACCTTCCCCTGTTTCCTTGGAGACCAGCCCTACCTTCCCCTGTTACCCCGGAGACCACCCCTACTCTATTCTGTTACTCTAGAGACCAGCTCCCCTTATATCTCTGACCCTAAACTTGTTACCTAGGAAACAGTTCCTATCCTTCCATTGCCCTGGAGACTGGGGACTAGGTCTACCCTATTCTGTTACTTAGGAGAACAACTTTATCCTCCTTAGTTACTCTGGACACCAGATACAACTTCCCTTGTCACTTAAGAGTCTAGTTAAACACTTTCCCTATTTCTGAAGAATTAATTCTTCCCTCTTCAGTTAGCCTCACTCTTTGCCCTGGAGATTATGCCTGTTCTTCTCACCCACCAATCACTTAGGAGGCCAATTCTCCCTCAGCATCCTCATTTGTCACCTCAAAGACTAAAACAGCCCTTTTCTGTTGCTTAGGAGATGGAGTTTCCCTCTCTGGTCCCAGGGCCTTCAGCTCCTCCCTTTCTCCCTTTCCCCCAGAGCCAAGCCCTATGCCTTGTACCTGGGAGACCAGGCGCTGGTTCTCATTCAGCCAACTCTCCCTCATGGCCACCTTGTGGTCAAACCTCTGGGCCAGTAGTTCCAGCTTCTCTTGCCGGATCAGCTCAGCCCGAAGGGCAGCCTCCCGCTCATGCTCGGCCTTTTCCAGCTGGCCCCATGCCTGTGGAGACAGGAGGAGGTAAGCAGACTCCAACAACCCCTGACAGTTTCGTGGTTCTGATTTCTCTGAGACAGCTTGCAGCATTTATGGCGCCTTTCTGGGGTGGGGGGGGAAGTTGCTCCCTCATGATGTTTTATTGCTACAAAATTATCAGAATGAATATCCAATCCATGATGTCTACAGTGTGAATGGCTCCCTTGAGCAGCAGCACACAATCTACACAACTCTGTACAGAGCAACTCCACTTGCCCTCCACATCTTCAGCCTCACCTTGTCAATATCCCAGATGCCACAGCCTTCCCGAGGCACGAAGAGGCGGCGGTTGCAGGCACGCAGTTTGCTCTGGATACTGAAGAGCAGCACCTCTAAGTTCCCCTTCTCTTGAAACCTGAAAGGGCAGGAGCTCAGGTGGCTGGCCTCCATGCCTCCCCCTGCCACCCACCATCCTGAACCAGGCCTCACTTGACAGGCTTCTCTAGTGTGCAGTAGGCCGTGAAAGCCTGCAGCTGCTGTTGCACCCCACTCAGTGAGTTGGCGAACTTCTGGGTGCTGATGAGGCCCACGGTGCGGTGGATCCAGGCCAGCAGCTCAGCTGCCAGCTCCTCATAGCGCTCTATGATCTTACCCACTTCCAGCACCTGGTCCAGGACCTGGCCCAGTAAAGGAACGCAGGCTCAGCCTCATCCCACATGTGTCCGCAGCTGGCTCCCTGGTCCACCCACTACTGGTTCCCCATACCTTCCCAATCCGCTTTCCCTCCACAGCCAGAGCCTTCATCTTAGAGAAATAGTGGTAGAAAGAGACCACATAGGTGATGATGGACTTTTCATCTGGAGCTTCCATGTTCACATCTTGAGGGGAGGAAGAGAAGAGCATGACAGTAGGCCCTTGGACAGAAGGACTGAAGGTATTGGGTGCAGGGAAGACCCCACTCTTACCAACTGTGTGACCTTGAGCAAGATAATCAAACTTTCCTTCAGTTTTTGTATCTCCTAAATGGTAATATACCTCAAGGGATTAGTTAGTCTTTTTTTTTCTTTTCTTTTTTTGGAGAGGTTTTTGCTTTAGTGTGCATGCGCTCGCCAGACAGACAAGAGAGAGACAGGGAGACAGAAAGCGAGAAATCACCCCCCAGGGGGATGGCCACACTGCAATCCCTTCTCCATTCTCTTCTCGGAATCTTGGGCACACACGCACACGTGCCTGGCATGAATTTAAGCCACCAGGTACAGGACTCAAACCGTGATCGACTACGTGGGAGTCCAGCAACATAGCCATTACATTAACTGCTGGTCTCAGGATTAGGTAGTTTCTGACACAGAAAGGAAATTGTCCATAATTATGTCTGGGACTCACCATCTTATCTTCCACCTCAGAGCCTTTGCACATGCAGTTCTCACTCTCTGAAACATTGTGCCTCCTTCCATATTTCTTTTTTTTTAAAATTATTTATTTATTTATCACCTCATTTATTTTTTAATTTGCCCAGAGAGAGAGGGAGGGTAAGTAAGAAAGAAAGCCACCAGGTCCGGGACTTGAACCGTGGTCGGCCATGTGGGAATGTCTAGCACCTTTAACCACCACGCCACCTGCTGGCCCCCTCCTTCCATATTTCTAACTTCCACTCACCCTTAAGGACTCACCTCAACTTAAATTTCCCTAGCTAAACCTACATGTTCACTCTGTCTAGTTGGACTCCTCATGTTAGTTTTCTCATAGTATCTCATTTCCATCACAGAATGTATTACAATTTGGAATTAAATATGGATACGCATGAGTCAGCCCCATAGCTTAATAGTTAAGGGAGCCCATGGTTGAGAGGATCAAATCCCTATCCAGTGACTTGAAAAACACCCAGGTACATGTGTAAGCATGCCTAAGTCCCAACAGGTTGGAGAAATGGAAAAGAAAAGATTATGGCATGACCGACCCCATTTGGGGGGGGTGCTTTCTTCCCTTCCCTCTCTCTTCTTATCCCTCTGCCTCTCTCTGGTGAGTGCATGCAAGAGAGACCATTTAAAATAAATAAGTAAATAGGTAGATAAATAAGTAAATAAATACTCATTAATGTGATTATGTCATTATCTAAATTTTGAGTTCCATAGAGACAAGGACCATGCCTCTTTCAAGTTTTTGCTATGGGGCATGCACACTCACCAGTGAGAGACAGAGAGACAAAGAGAGAAAGAGAAAGTGAGAAATGACACCCCTCCCCCCCAGGGGATGGCCATGCTGCAATCCCTTCTCCTCCATTCTCCTCTCAGGATTTTGGGCATGCATAGACATGTACCCAGCATGGTTTTCAAGCCTCCAGGTCCAGGACTCAAGCCATGGTCAACCACGTGGAAGTCCAGTGCTTTATCCATTATGCCACCTGCTGGCCCCTGTGCCTCTTTTTTAACCACTGTTCCTGCCATGCCATGGGAAAGGGGAGGGACTGAAGATGAGGAAGGGAAAGAATTGGGATTTGCAATGACGTTGGGGTGATTGGGTAGGCTGGAGTGGAATCTGAGATGGCACTGGGGCTGGGAGCCCCTGGGAGGCTGTCTGGGCTGGGTCGCGCAGGGCTCACCTTCAGGGTCCAGCAGGCGGGCCAGCCCCAGGTGCTGCTCCGCTGTACGGAAGGCTTTCTGCAGGTTGTAGTTTGCGTTGGATTTGGTGAGTTTGCTGAAGTCCACGAGATCAGGCCTGGGCAGGGGCACAGAGCAGGCAGGCAGCAGGCAGGCTCCAGAGCCAGGGGCCGAGCGGGTGACAAGACATTCTTGGCTGAGCCCCACCGGAGTGAGGGCCAGAGGGGGCAGGATATAGCCAAGGGGAAGCATGTGTGGTGTGCGGCTGTGTGGCGTTCATCTTGCTGTGAGTGGGATGACCCGGGCATGTTTCGTTGGTTCCTTTGAATGAGTGTGTGTGCTGGGCATATGTTAGCTGGCCCATGTGGACGGGTCAGTCCACGGGGGCAGCAAAGAGACTCACCCACGTGGAGTGTGTCAGAGAAACTACCCAGCAGTACGACTGTGGAGGTCTTTTATGCAGAGGCTTTATGTGTGTTGTGTGAGGGCACATATACATCTGCCTCCAGGCACACATGTGTTGCTTGGGTGTATATATATACGGTCTCATGTAGTGGTCTGGGGTCCGGGCAGCACATCTGAGCTGTGTCCCTCTGGGCGAGTTACTTCATATCCTGTGCCTTGCTTTCTTTCCTCATCTGTAAAATGGGGCTAAGAATAGTATCTGCCTCCCAGGGTCACTGAGTGCTAAATGATGTGGTGGACAGCTCTTAGGACATGCCTGGCACACAGGAAATGCCCAGTGAGTGTGACTGATTGTTACTGGGACCCCAGTTACTGCTCGTGAGTTTCTGTCTGTGGGTGGGTCCAGGTCTCCCATGTATGTACAAGCGTTTATGTGTGAGGCAGGGGTCATGTGTGAGCCTATGTCCACAGCAGAAAGAGCTGGATCTGGCTTCTGCCACACCAAAGCTAGGCCCTCCCAGCCTCTAGGACTCGGTTTGCCCAATCTGACATGTGGATGATCATGATGTGTGTGTAACTGGTCTGAGCGCTTGACCTTCAGCTGGCTCAGCCCCAGGCCCTGACGTATGACCGAGTGTGCAAGGAGCCAGGGAGGAGGACTCTGGGGGCTCCCCTTGAGGAAGGACTTTCTGATAGAAGTGTTGTATATATCCCACAGTGGACAGTCCCCAGGACAATAAGCTCCTCACCCCCAGGAGAATCTAAGCAACAGGTGCGGACTGTGTGTGTGCGCGTGGGTATCTGTGTGTGCACACACATCCGTGCAGATGCACACGTGTTTGTGTGTGAATAGGGTATGTGGCCGAACAGAGTCTGTGTGTGTGTGTGTGCCTGTCTGTAAACGTGAACGGGATGTGTGAAAAGGGAGTTAAATGTGTATGTGTGTGTAGAGGTCGATGGTCCTGAGTCTGTGTGTGTTGTCCATATACATACATGTACAGGTTGTAGCAGTACAGACATGGGGCAGGGTGCAGGGCAGGGCAGAGCTGGCCCAGGCCAGGTGGTACCTGTGCCGGTGAATGAGGGCATTGAAGGCCAGGCCGTCCCGCCAGCTGGTGGTGAAATTCTGGATGTTTACCTCTGGGTAGCTGGCAGTGTGCAGGGGAGAGACAGAGGCAGAGATGGAGAGAGTCAGGAGGTGAGAGAAGAAGGGAGATGGAGGGAGAAAGGAGGGAGGGAAGGGCATGAAAAGATGGATGATAGGGTGAAATTCTGGATGTTTACCTCTGGGTAGCTGGCAGTGTGCAGGGGAGAGACAGAGGCAGAGATGGAGAGAGTCAGGAGGTGAGAGAAGAAGGGAGATGGAGGGAGAAAGGAGGGAGGGAAGGGCATGAAAAGATGGATGATAGATATATATAGATACAGACACACACACACACACACAGAAACAAAAGTCAGAAGGAAGATGAATCCAGGGAAATGGAGAGTGAAAGACAGGAGAGGAAAGAAAGAGGGAGGCAGACAGAGAAAGGAAAGGAAAGAGGGAGGGAGGATAGAGAAGGGAGAGAGAGGAAGAGATGGGTGCAAGGAAAAGCAGACATATAGGAGAAGCAGATGGCATTGCAAGACAGACAGCCCCAGAAGAGTCAGAGAAAGCCTGCCTCCATCGTCCCTGCCCCTCCCTCCTTCCCCAGAAGCTGCTCTTTAGAAGCCATGCCCTTTCCTGCAGGGCAGAGAGCCAGGGGTCCCAGGGAACATGCCCATCAGAGTCTGTGTCCTATCCCTGCCATCTCAACCACACTGAAGCCCCCCACCCCCACCAGGGCCCTGCACTTTCCTATGCAAGCTTCCAGATCCCTGGTGTGTGCTTCCCCAGGTAGAGGGGTGATAGCTCGTGAGGGGAGGAGTGGGGGTCAGAGCTGAGATGCAGGGCTAGGGGTCCACACAGGTGCCAGCAAAATCTTTTGAAGTACAGGATAAGACTGGGTGGAAGGTGGAGAGAAGGGCGCAAGCCAGGAACCTGATATTGGTCTCTGAAGATCCTAGGCTTGAACTTGGCCTTCCAACTTCTAAGAAGGTTTACTCATCACAGTCAGATACGTGTGTATATTTTTAATACCAGTTAGTCAGCTTAGGCTGTCACTTTTTGACACTGAGGACAAGGGCTGCTCTTTGAGCACTTGTCCTGGAAGGGACTCCAAAGTTTAGGGACCCACCTGCCTGTGAGGACAGGGCCGGGCTTACCCAGCTGTCTTCATCTGACACCATAAGAGCAGAGCGTCCTTGGCCGAGCGTGTCTCTCTGTTGTCCTCAGTCTCAATCTTGATGACTTGAATCTATGAGGATACAAAGAAGTGGCTTTTGGCCATTTCTTTGTGTTGACATGAGAGACCCCTCCCCATCCTGTGACCAGCAAGGACGGCAGGTGTCAGAGGAGATGGGGGAGGCAGCTCAGGCTGAGGGTGGGGGTCCAGAGATGAGTTCTGCAGTGGGCCAGGACAGCTGCCATTGAAGGAGGGACTTGCAGGTTCCAGTCTCATTTCCAGGGAAACCTCCAAACTGAGGATCTGGACCACTCTCCTGGTCCAGGCCACCATCATCTCCCACGTGGGCTAGTGCAGTATCTTCATGCTGGCCTCCCTTCTCCTGTGCCTACAGTCTGATGCTGGGAACACCCCAATCAGGTCATGTGCCTCCTCTCCTCAACACCCTTCATGGCTCTGTTTCATTCAGAAAAAAAACCAACTCTTCATGATCTTCCCCCCGTAAGTGTCACTCTGGACCTCATCCCTGGCATCTTCCCACCTCAGAGCCTTTGCACCAGCTGTTCCCTCTGCTTGGACTATCCTTTCCCCAAGTGCTCACATGGTTCTGCCCCTCTTTGGGGTCTTTTCTACAATGCCACCTTCTCAATGAGATCTTCACTGACCACTTGGTCTGTTTCCTCGTTGGTAAAAATGGGATGATAAATAGTCCCTATGTATGGGGTTGCTGTGTGTATTAAATGTCAGATCCCGGGACCAGCAGTTAGCGTAATGGCTATGTCGCTGGACTCCCATGTAGTTGACCGCGGTTCACGTCCCGGACCCGGTGGCTTAAAACTCACGCTGGGCTTGTGTGTGCATGCCCAAGATCCCAAGAGGAGAATGGAGGAGAAGGGACTGCAGCGTGGCCATCCCCCCTGGGGGGTTATTTCTCACTTTCTGTCTCTCTCAGTCTTTCTGGCGAGTGCACACGCCCTGTAGCAAAAACCTCTCCAAAAAAAAAAAAAAGTCAGATCCCCATTCCCTGCTTATTCTCCTTAGTATTTATTGCCACTACACACTGATTGCTGGATTAGGTCTTCTGTCTTCCCCACTAAAATGTAAAAGCCCCAGGACCACAGGGACATTACCTATTTCGTTCACTGCTGAATCCCACTCATAGGTGTTCTATAAAGTGATGGTCAACACAGAATCTACAGGGGGTCCCAGAGCCGCAGGTGGTATTTGAGTCTTGAGTCAGGAACTGGGTTTGGCATGCGGGTCCCAAGAGAGAGAGAACTGTGACTCTACCAAGGAGGTCCTGGTGCCTAAGGCAGCCACAATGATCCCCGACCCTTAATTCTGATTCACAGTATCCATGCCTGGCTCCAGCCCTTCCTGCTCCTGGATCCCAGGGATGCTTTCCCAACCCTGAAATCTTGGAGCATAACCACCACATCCCAAGCTGACCTTAGTATTGTCCCCAAACCTTCTCTTCCTCCCTGGTCCTGTCTCAGGTCAAACCCATCATTCCCCAATCTTCAGATCAGAACTCTGAGTCTCCTCCTGGACTCTCCACTTCCTCTCTCCCTCCTCTATGGCCTATCTACTCCACTGCCTGAGTGTGAGTCCCACCTGCCCACTCTTCATTCCACAGCACTACCCTGGCCCAGCTCAGTCTCCTCTCTGGGCTCTCAGCCCCTAAGTTTGGTAATCACCTCCAATTCAGCTGGATCTTCCCGAATCTGATTACAGGCCTCCCCTTGCTGAAAGTCCAACCTCTCCCCATCTCACTCAGAATGAAACCCAAACTCCTAATTACAGACCACCTAGCCCTGCTAACCCCCCTGACCTCATTTCCTCCCCAACTTCCTCGTGACTTCACTTCTCTAGCCGTACTGCCCCTCCTTCTGTATCTTCTACATATCAAGGTCAGCCCCACCTCAGGGTCTTTGCATCTGCTGTGCCCCCACCTAGATGCTTTCTCCTTTCATCTTTGTACGTCATTCAGGCATCGGTTTCTCAGCAAGCCCTTTTCTGACAGCCATATCTGAAATCTGAACAGCAACAATCTGATATTTTTTAAATTTTTATTTAGATTTTTGCCATAGGGTGCTTGCCAGAGACAGACAGAGGGAAAGTGAGAAATCACCCCTCAGCGAGGATGGCCATGCCACAATCCCTTCTTCACTTTCCTCTATGGATCTCGGGGTGGTGTGATCTTCAAGCCACCAGGTCAAGACTCAAACCACAGTTGGCCATGTGGGAATCCAGTTCCTTAACCGTCATACCACCTGCTGGTCCGAACAACCTGATATTTTACATCAACCTGATATGTACTGCTTTTATCATAACTTATTCCTTTCTGCATGGCTTTTCTTTCTTTTTTAACTTCTCTGCCCAGAGCTGTCTCTTTTCTCATATGTGGATTATTTATGTATTATATTTGTTGGTTGTCTGTCACCTTCACCGCAATATACTCTCTATAAAGGCAGATCATCTGTTTCTGTACTGGGGCAAAACTGCCTGGGTTTGAATCCCAGCTCTAGTATCCAGCTTTGTGTGTGATCTTGAGCATATTACTCCACCAATCTGGGCTTCTGTTTCCTTGCTGGTGAAAATGGGATGATAAATAGTGCCTACGTATGGAGTTGCTGTGTGTACTAAATGTCTAGTGCTTGGGACAGAATGATACACAAATGATGATCACAGTGACAGTCTTTTCATCATCACTTTGGTCTCCACCACCAGGAACTGGGTTTCTGAACTAAACTAGGAATATCCTTGCATCTGTTTCCTTGCTGGTGAAAATGGGATGATAAATAGTGCCTACGTATGGAGTTGCTGTGTGTACTAAATGTCTAGTGCTTGGGACAGAATGATACACAAATGATGATCACAGTGACAGTCTTTTCATCATCACTTTGGTCTCCACCACCAGGAACTGGGTTTCTGAACTAAACTAGGATGAATGAATGAATGAATGAATGAATGAATGAATGAGTGGGTGAATGGGTGGGGGTGCCCTCCTAAGCTTCCAATTCCATGGGGGTATTTGGGAGGGGGGTCATTTGAGGATCACCTGGAAGCGCAGAATGATAGTCCAGACCAGCCCCAGCGTCAGTCGGTGATTCCCATCCACAATGTCATGGGATCCCACGTTCTCCAGATGCACGCGCTGCTCCTTCAGGAACTGCAGAGCCTTGTCCACATTCTCCAGCGAGTGGATTCGCATCCGGCCACGCGTGGGCCTTGGCTAGGGCAGTAGGGGCATTGGGTGGTAGGAGGTAGAAGGAGGCAGGAGCACTGCACCTTCGTCCCCGCTCCCTTCAAAAAAGCCCGCCCCTCCTATAGCCACATCCCCTGAGTGTCCATGATCAGGCCACCCCCTTCAGTTTTATCCAAGACCCAGGACTCAATCCTATAAAAGCCCTACCCCTGCATTTCAGACTCTTTTGATAGTCAAGTTCCTTCAGGACTTATTCGAATTCCTGATTCTGCCTCTCCTACTGACGCCCCACCTCCAACTTGATAGCCCCACCCCTCCTCAGGAAGCTCCGCCCCTGTGGTCTCTAGCCGTAGTCTTGCCTGTTTCATTGGACCTCTCCCCTGTCCACCAATGTTTAGCCACTAATTTCGTGGCCACACCTTTTATTGCTTCTCTTACAAACCCCTATCTAGACCCACGCCTATTTCTTTTATTTTCTTTTCTCTTTCTCTGTTTCTTTCTTTCTCTTATTTATTTTTTTTTTGAAAGATTGTTGCTATAGGGCACATGGCAATCACCAGAGAGACAGAGAGAAAGTGAAAAATCCCCCCCCCCCCAAGGGGAATGACCACACTGCAGTTCCTTCTTCTCCATTCTCCTTGGGATTGCAGACACACACACACACACACACACACACACACAAACACGCCCGGACCCCACACATACCCTCCAGATCCACGTCTATTTCAATAGAACTCAGAGCTCTCCCCCAGTTTAGAGCCCAATTCTTTCCGATGGTGTCTGTTCCTATTCTATACCCAGGCTCCTCATGACTTCTAGAATTCCAGGCTCTCCTCATTCAAGGAATTTCTACCTTCTTGCCTAGGACCTAAGTCTCACCCTACCAATGAACACTGCCCCCATGCCGGGCATCCACTGATCTCCACAACAGGATTCTGCCCCTGTTTTATAGCCATACCCCTTGCTAACACAGAACCGGGGCCAGTTTCTCCCAATCAAGCCCAATCCTTCCAAGAAAGTGCCGCCCCTGCACTATAGCCCACCTCTCTGCAGAAACTGGCTGGGTTCCACTGCACGTGCCCTGGGCTCACACTCAAGCTCCATCTCTGTGCCATAGCCTCGCCCACATGAATAAAGGTGCCTCTGATCCCCCAGGCTCTTGGTCTAATAGCCAGGCCCCTGCTTGTAGTCAACCTTTACAGCAAGCGATGCCCGGACCCCAGGGCCAACCCCTTCCCTAGCCCTTCAGGCCCCCTCACCAGCTGCTCGCCTGACAGCACTTCCAGGAGTCGCGTGAGCACGAAGCCATCCCGGAGGTCCGCATAGAGGTCCCCAATGTGGCAGCCCACGCGGGCGAGGTGCGAGTTCACCCACTTGGTGAAGGTTTTCTTCTGCACAGCCTCCCGCTCATCTGGAGGACAAGGCCTGATAAGCTCTCGTCACTGGGGAACCCCGGGCCTCCTTCCAGCTTCATTCCAGCCCTTCAGGGTCTGGCCAGACCCAATCCTCTGCAGTGAAGCCTTTGTACAGGCAGCTCCTCCTACCTGGGAGGCCCTTCTGTTGTCCTCCTGGCAATAACCTCCCTACCCTTTAAAGTTTGCCGTGAGATAGCACATCCAGGGGAAACCTCTGTTTGCTACCCAAGTTGATGCTGTCCATTCATTCATTCAATAAATATTTGTGGGCCCACTCAATGTGGGGGGCACTGTTCTGGGCTCTGTGAGTTGAGACAGCACCCCTCCCTAACAGACAGTAGTTTAGTGGGGGCACATATAATAAGAGGAACCTTTAAAAAGATCATGGAAAACGCCTAGTATGAAAAAAATTATGCATGGAGTTATACACATTTGCACTAAAATAAATTTGTGCTTTTAATTTCATTTTACCATGAGTTTTTTAAAGTACTCTCGTATGAGTGAACGCTGGGGAGTCATGAGGGGGTTTTTCTTTTATTTCAGAATTATTTATTTTATTTTATTTATTATTATTATTATTTTACTTCACCAGAGATGGGATGAGAGAGTGAAAAAGCAAGCCAGGGTCCAGGACTCCAACTGCAGTCAGCCATGCCATCTGCTGGCTCCACCAGGAGGCCTTAAAGAGGTGGGAGACAGGATGAGAGCTGTGTTTCAGGAGAATCTCTAGCAACTCTGTGAAAGGTGGATCAGAGAGGGCAAGAATGGCAGCCAGAAGTCCACAGAGGACATGTGAAACAGGACCCAGGAAGGAGAGGTTGAGGCCGGATCCAGACAGAAGCTGTGGGGAGGGGAGGAGGGGTGGCACTGGAGAGTTAGCGAGAGAATCGAATCTCCTTCATCATTGCTTCCTTAGAACAATAGTAGTGGGCACAGGGCTGCTCCGGTAGAAATGACATTTCCCACCTCCCTAGGGCTGAGGTGTAGGCATGTGACTAAGGTCTCACCAATGGGAGTGGAGCAAAACGTACTTGGCTTCTATCTGGCTTGCTTGCAGGGAAACTGTTCAGGACCTCTTGAACTATCTTTTTTTCTTTTTTTCTTTCTCATCTTTCCTTCCTTCTTTCCTTCCTTCCTTCTTCCTTCCTTCCTTCCTTCCTTCCTTCCTTCCTTCCTTCCTTCCTTCCTTCCTTCCCTTCTTTCTTTCTTTCTTTCTTTCTTTCTTTCTTTCTTTCTTTCTTTCTTTCTTTCTTTCTTTCCTCTTTCAGGTGTGGTGGCACCCGCCCTAAGGCAAAAACTTATGGAGGCTGGAGGATTGCGTCATCAAGTCTTTTTCTTTCTTTCTTTCTTTTTTTTTCTTTCTTTTTGTTTATGGTAGAAAGTGTGTGCATGCATGTGAAGGAGAGAATGAAGCACACTTAACAGGGTTTCCACAGTCATGCTCCCCTTTCTCTAGCTCTCCAGTTACTTGGGACCCTGGACAACCAGGGGATCCAAACCTGGAGTTGACCATGTGGCTTCCAGTCTAGCAGGGCACTGTGTTATCACTGCACCACAGTAGTAGGCCCCCTTTTGTTCAATAAAACTTTTTTTTTGGGGGGGGAAGAGGTTTTCGCTATAGGGCATGTGCGCTCACCAGACAGACAGAGAGAGACATAGAGACAGAAAGCGAGAAATCACCCCCCAGGGGGGATGGTCACGCCGCAATCCCTTCTCCTCCATTCTCCTCTCGGGATCTTGGGCACGCACAAACACGCGCCCTGCGTGAGTTTTAAGCCACCAGGTCCCGGACACGAACCGCGGTCGACTACGTGGGAGTCCAGCAACATAGCCATTACGCTAACTGCTGGTTCCCTTGTTCAATAAAACTTTAGCATGAGCTATAATTCATATATTATAAAATTATAAAATTCACCCTTTTAAGGGGCCAGCAGGTGGCATAGTGGTTAAGGCACTAGATTCCCACATGGTGGACCACAGTTCAAGTCCTGGACCTGGCAGCTTGAAACTCACGCTGGGTACGTGTGCCCAAAACCGCAGGAAGAAAATGAAGGAGAAGGGATTGTGGTATGGCCAAAACCCCCGGGAGGGTAATTTTTCACTTTCTTTTCTTTTTTCGGAAACAGACATGAGACCAGCAGATGGCATAATCGCTTGGTTCCCACATGCTCAACTGTGGTTCAAGTCCCAGACCTAGCAACTTAAAACTCACGCTGAGCATGCGTGCCCAAAATCCTGAAGGGAGAATGGAGAAGGGATTGTGGTGTGGCCATCCCTTCCCCAGGGCAGGGGAGGGGGTTCTAGCTTTCTGTCCATTTGGCAAAAGCACAAGTCCTATAGCAAAAATCTCTCTAAAAAAGAAAGAAAGAGACACAGTGAGACAGACCCTGAGAGAGAAAGTGAGAAACCACACCCTGGGGGGATAGTCATGCCAATTCCCTTCTTCATTCTCTTCCTGGGATCTTGCACACATGCACAGATGCCCAGTGTGATTTTCAAGCCACCAGGTCCAGGACTCAAACCACAGTCAGTCATCTAGGAGTCCAATGATGTAACCACCACACCATCTGCTGGTCTTGATTTCTCACTTTCTCTCTATTTCTCTCTATCTCTCCAGCAAGCACACACACACACACACACACACACACTATAGCAAAAAATCTCTACAAATAAATAAATAAAATGTAAACTCAGGGGCTAGCAGGTGGCGTGATGATTAAGGTGCTGGATCTGATATTGCCCACTGCAGTTCAAGTCCTGGACCTGACAGTTTGTTTTATCTCTTTCTCTTTCTCTCTCTGGTGAGCATCTATGTCCTCTGGCAAATTTTTAAAATAATATATATTTTTTTGGGGGGGGAGAGGTTTTTGCTGTAGGGTGCGTGCGCTCACCAGAGAGACAGAGAGAAGAAAGCGAGAAATCACTTCCCAGGGGGGATGGTCATGCTGCAATCCCTTCTCCTTCATTCTCCTCTCAGGATCTTGGGCATGCATGCACACGCTCCCAGTGTGAGTTTAAGCCACTGGGTCTAGGACTCGAACCGTGGTTGACCACATGGGAGTCCAGCGACAGCCATTATGCTGACTGCTGGTCACTTAAAACAATATTAATAAAATTAAATAAATAATTTAAAACTAAATAAAGTGTAAATTCAATGTCTTTTTGTATATTTACCGAGTGGTTCAGCCATCACCACTGTCTAATATCAGATTTTCACTACCGTCCCAAAAAATCCCTTATCTATTCCAGTCCCTCCTATTCTTCCTTGTCTCAGCCCTAGGCAATAGCTGACCTGCCTTCTGTCCCTTTCTATCTCCACAGATTTGCCTATTCTGGACATTTCATATAAATAAAATCATACACTATATGGCTGTTTATGTGTCTGGCTTCTTTCACTTAGCATAATGTTTTTAAGAATGAGCCATGTTGCATCAGGTGTCAGAATTTTTTTTTAAGGTTTTTGCCATAGGGTGTGTGGACTTGCTGGAGAGAAAGAGAGAGAGACAGTGAGAACAAGAGTGAGAAATCATCCCCCAGCAGGGATGGCCATGCCATAGTCCCTTCCATGCCATAGTCCCTTCTCCATTCTCCTCCTGGGATTTTGGCCATGCACACACAGGTGTGCAGTGTGATTTTTAAGCCACTGGGTCCAAGACTCAAACCATAGTCAGCATGTGAGTCCAGCGCCGTAAGCACTACGCCACATACTGGCCCCCAGAACTCTTTTTATGCCAGAGGCTGCTGCATATGAGAGAGAGAAAGCACCCCAGTGGGGTGTGGTCACACTGCAATCCTTTCTTCTCCAGTTCTCCATTCCATTAGGATCCTGGACATGTGCATGCACCTGCATGAAGCCACTGGGCCTGGACTGGAACTCTGTCAGCCACACAGAATGTGGCTTCCCCTGCGTAGTGCATATGGCTATGCCATGGGGCCAGCCCAAGTGCCAATACTTTATTCCTTTTTATGGCCAAATACTATTCCATTGTATATACTACAACGGATATACTATGTTTTACTTATCCATTCATTAACCGATAGACATTTGGGTTGTTTTGTTTTATAGTTATTATAAATAATGTTGCTATAAATATTTAGATAGAAAATTTTTGTATGAACATACATTTTCAATGATCTCAGGCATATACCTAGGAGTGGAATCTCTGAGTCATTTGGTAAGTATAGGATTAACTTTTTGTTTTTGTTTTTAAATTTTTTGCTATAGGGCATGTGTGTTTATTGGACATAGACACAGGGAGGAAAAGTGATAAATCACCTCTCAGAGGAAATGGCCACATTGCAATCCCTTCTCCTCCATTCTCTTCCTGGGATTTTGGGCACACACACACACACACACACACACACACACACACAGAGGCATGTGTGTGTGTTTTCAAGCCACTGGCTTCCAGGACTTGAACCACATACATAGTCCTGTGGGATCCAGCAGCCTTAACCTCATGCCACCTGCTGGCCCCTTTTGCCCACATTTAATTGGATCATTTGTCTTTTTATCATCTACTCTTTTTGCAACTTTTGTAATCTAAATATTGTGTAATTAAAATTTATTTAAAAATTTGGGTGAAGGGGCCAGCAGGTGGTGTGGTGATTAGGAGCACTGGACTTCCATAGGGCTGACCATGGTTCAACTCTTGGATCTGGTGGCTTGCTTTCTCACTGTCTCTCTTTCTCTGTCCCTGTCTGGTCAAATTGAAATAAATAAATTCATAAGTAAATAGTTTAACTTTATTTAGCGTGACCATCCCCCGGGGAGGTGATTTCTTATTTTCTTTTCTTTCTTTCTTTCTTTCTTTATTTATTTTGAGAGGTTTTCACTATAGGGCGTGTGCGCTCACCAGACAGACAGAGAGAGACATAGAGACAGAAAGCGAGAAATCATCCCCCAGGGGGGATGGCCACGCTGCAATCCCTTCTCCTCCATTCTCCTCTTGGGATCTTGGGCACGCTCGCACACGCGCCTCGCATGAGGTTTCGA